GGTTGCCTGCGAGCTACGCCGCGGGTCCCCCGCTCCAGCTGCAGCGCCCGCTCAGGCTCCAGTGGTCGCAGCTCCAGAGCCAGCGACCGGGAGCCTCCCGCCGTACTCTCGCGAGGACAGCTCCCGGGACTCTCCTCGAGCCGAGATTTTACCCAATATGGAACCTGCCAATGGGAGGAGAGGAAGGGAGGAGCAGTTCTCGCGAGAAGAGAGCAACAGCTGGAGCCCCGAGGAAGGAACTCCCCAAAATTGTTCTGAGGGCGCGAAGGCCGACCTGGGAAGGAGGAGATAGAGGCGCGGCCCATGCCGCGTGCGCCTCACCGTGGTCGACGAGCCAAATCCCTGGCTCCATGGCGGAAAGCGGTAGTGACAAATAGTGCCGGGAAAAGAGCCAGAAAATCTTTGAACTGGGAGTAGTCACCAGCAGTCCGGCACCTGCTCGGTGTAAGAGGAAATTTCCAAGAAATATCTGCGGGAAGAGACAGTTCTGTCCAGAAAACCGTTGCGTTCCCATCTGTTCAAGGACATAAGGCTTTGCCCTTCGGGATTCTGACAAAATCAGTCCCAGAGGCAAATACTAACCCTGCATCAAAAAAACTAAGGTTTTCTGTCCAGACTCTCCTAGGTAGTCCTTAAACTAGTAAGCGCAGAAAAGTCACCCTGGGAGTTTGTTTCTGAAAGCCGAGTGCTCTGACCCTCAGGGAGTCTGTTTGCATAGGTCTGAGATAGGCATCAAGAACAGGCAGCTTGTGCACCTTGAGACCATAATGTTTTGTTTTGTGGGTTTCTTTTGTTTGTTTTTTGGTGTCGGATCGAACTGGCGTCCTTGCGCTGCAAGGCATCCGGTGGAGCCACTAAGCTAAATGCCCGGCCCTTGAGACCTAATGTTAAGGGGAATAAATCAGACACATAAGATTAAATATAACATGGTTTCTCTTATATAAGAAACTCAAAGTATAATTTAGAAGCAAAATAAATGCCAAAATAAAAGGTTTTTATTGCAAACGGGAATGGGGCCTAGAAATGGGGCAGCAGAGGAGGGGGAGGGGTAGTAAAAAGAATTAAGATGTGTTATGCACGTGTACCGACTCCCCACGAGGAATGTAATCCTTATGTACTGCAAACAGGAACGAATACATTTAAAAAACAGTGTATCTTTGGGCTGCAGATGTAGCTTGGTAATGCACGTTTGCATAGCATATGTGAAACCCTGCACCCAAGTGTTCATAATTCAGCAAAGTCTCTGCCCTGTCTCCTTTTTTTAATTAATTAAATTTATTGGTACGTTTTAAATATACACACTGATCATATTCATCATAGGGAATTTGTACCTGTGCGTGATTTTTCTTGAGTCTTCTTTTAGTCTCCTATTTTGGTACGGGGGATCGAACTCAGGACCTCACACTTTCAAGGGTGCCAATGAGCTAAATTCTGGGCCCAAAGCTTTGTTTTTTGTTTTGTTTGGGGTTTCTATTTGTTTTTTGGTCTCGCTTTTAAAAAGCATTTAAAAAACCATGTCCCTGAGGGTTTGAAACTGACTCTTGCGGGGAAGAGCCATTCAATGAAAAGGATTTTAAGAATTTTATTCACGCCTCTCCGGAGTAAGAACAGGATAGGACTTAGGCAAGTCATTTGTGGTATCCCAGATCCTAGTTCCAGTTTCCAAGATTTCCGGTTTCCATTCCCACCTCATAGTGTCCTTTGTAATAGCTGTGCCGGATAATAAACAGAAATGAGCAAGGCATTGTAAGTCCATAATACACCTGCTCTCACCAACCTGTGCCTGTCCTGAGCGTGTCACAATGGGCAGAAGAATTGGGCCGTACCTTGTTCTTCTAGAAGTAACTAGGTCCAGACCAGAGAAAGGACAGAGGGGCTCCCCTTCCCCGCCCCACCCGCGTTCCCGCCCGCCCGGAACGCCCACTGGTTCCGAGCAACGGCTAGGGAACCGCCGGCTTCTGTCTGCGGCGCCACCGCCGGCCCGAGCAGTGTACGACCCCAGCGACCGCACACTGGCCCTCGCCTGGGAGCCAGGTGAGCCGCTGCCGCCGCCGGGACGACCAGGAGCCCAGGCTGGAGACTAGGAGCAGCGAGGCCGAGGTGAGTCCCAGGGAGGGGAGGGATCCGTCGTATTTGTGCAATGAATGACGGTCGTGCCTGGAGCGTATCTCTACCTTGCAAGGCCGTGCGGAATGACAACCACAAGCTAACACCTTTCCAATAAGAGGCCCCTGAACCGCGCCATGCCGCATCCACCTCTTCCTCAGACCCCGGCCCTCACTGCTGTGGTTTATTTTGTTCCCTGGGGAATGAACCTCTCGCTCCCCACTTCCCCTTTTCTCTCCCTTTCAAACCCACCTTAGGCACTGGACCCCTCTATAAAGCCTTCTGCAACTCCCCATCCCAATACTGAGTGTCTCGGCCACACCCGCTTGCTGTGGCACACACTGTCGCATTATGGGGAGGTGTCCACTGTGGTGGCTGAAAAACTCACAAAATTTATCCCCAGCCTCTAGACGCAGTGACTTGAAGGGTACTAAAGGTAATGCTTTTTCTAAATTCCCAATACATATGCCTGTTAGATAAACCTAGACAGTAACAGGCGAAGTGTTGTTTCCGATGGAATTATAAGTGCTTGTTTTAAAATTTTGGAAGTAAACTTTGCTTCCCCATGATTGCAGAGAACATATGAAAGATGTCGATGTGAGGAGAAAAACATTCTTGGGATTTAAGTAATTTTCAGGCTTTAACATCTATTGGGGTCATAGGCGGGAAATTGGGTTGTGTATTTATTTATTTGCACCTAAAATGAACGCAGATTCTGTAAGTGAATTGATGGACATCGGGTGGACGCATAAGGGTAGTATGGAGGGGAACTACCTGTGTTTTAGCGGTGCCCCCAAACTTAGTACTGGAAGGCTGACCGAAGATAATTTGCTTAGCTTACAGGGGTCCTCATGCTCTGCTTTGCGGGGCCACTTTCAGAGTTTCTGACTCAGTAGCTCTTGGTAGGTGAGGACTACTTGTGAGTCGGAACTTCTGGTCAGTACATCGTGTCTGGAAGGGTCCTGATAGTGTGCAGAACAAGTTGCTGAGAAATCCAGAAAAGCAGAATGGTGCTGGAGAAATTCCAGATGAGACAAATCAGTAAGTAAGGGAATAAGGAAACTGTGGCTTTACCCTTGCTGCTTTAGCTAGACATCTGATGAGTCCTTTGGCAGCTTTCTATCTGCCCCTCCTGCCCACCCCACATATTTATGACTTGGTAACTTGTCCTCTAGACTAGGCTAGCGGTCTCTGGTGGGTCTTTTTGCCTTGGTCTCCTCCCCTGTGTCCAGCATTTTCCAATAGAGCTTTCTGTAATGAGGTACGTTTTAAATCTGCACTGGCCAGAAGGAAACCACTACCTCCGTGTGGCTTTTGAGCACTTGGAACATAGCTAGTAGGGCTAAGGAACAGAACATTTTATGTTAATTAAGTCAAATTTAAATGTCCACGTGTAGCCTGTGGCTTGGTTAGCACACTGGATTCACACGCTCCGGACTACATCGCTGGCACAATTCCTCTCCTTAAAGTACATTTCCATCTTGAAGAATTTAAATAGCTACAAAGTCACAGTGTTCGGCCAGCTCAACTCTGCCTTCAAAACCTTCTGGGAACTGGTTTCAACCTACTGTTTTAGACCTGAACATCGACTTTACTCGGATGGCTTGCCTTGTATTATATCTAATTTTATTCTCTTCTCTTTCTCTGAAACACATGTTCCTCTTCTCTGTCCCCACCAAGATGGAGCTCAAATCGTGACTCCCCCAAGAGGCCTTTCCCACATCTCCATGCGGGGATTATTAGTACCATGCTGCAGGTCCAGTGGTCTGAGGAGGTGGTGTGTTTTGGAACCAGGAAGATTGGGCTCAGATTCTGGCTGTGCTGTTTAATTGTTGTGAGACTGTGAGGCACTCACTGAACTCATTAGAAATTGAGTAGAACCATCAGGAAAATAGCATGGACCCTATGGAGAAGGCTGGTCCAGGCCAGGCCAGCTAGAAGTGTTAACTCCTGTCTTCCCCACCACTTATAGCGGTATATTTTGGTATCTATATTCTACTAAATTGTAATGTCTTTGTTCTTTTGTATCCCTAGAGCACCTAGTATTCAATTTTCATGCAACACTGAGTTACTTGACCATGGGTTAAGTAGCATTCTTCAATCTGAAATAAATGAAGGCCACGAGTGGATATGATAGAAATTTACAAAACTATGAAAATAAAAGCAGACAAGTTCACCAGAACTTGTAGATGGGGGGGTGTCACCTCTTGAAATACAAATAATATCAATAAAAAGAAGACAATAAAATGAAATAGTCCTTTCTATAAATAAACTAATAGGATATAATACCTCCAAATTAACAATAGCAATACAAGTACTTCCACTTCAAAAGGGAATTACACAAGCTGGGGATTTAGCTCAGTGGTTCTGCCACCTGCCTCACAGAGGCAAGGTCCCGAGTTCAATCCCCGGTACAAAAAAAAAAAGAGAGAGAGAATTACAGGAAGCTGGGCTTGGTGGTGCAGCCTGTGATTCTACAGCTCTGGGAGGTTAAAGCAGGATGGAAAGTTTGAGTTGACCTGGGCAGCTTAGCAGTTTAACAAGACCCTGTCTCAAAATAAAAAGTAAAAAGGGCTGGAGATGTAGCTCAGTGGAAAGCCCTCGGTTCACTCCCCAGTGCCTAAAAAAATAAATAAGAGAGAATCACAGGAATTCTTGGGAGATAAATTCAGAGTTTGTCATGGGAAGAGATGATGATAGTTTTATGTTTTTGATGCAAGTATCTTATACTGCTTAGAGATGTATTTTGTCAGTTGTATACTATGTTTTTAAACATATGTAATCAACAACATTTAAAAGTCAGAAGAGTCTGCATAATTCCATAAAATTATAACTTCTCCAGGAAAAAACCCCAGCTCTGGCCACGCTGGCCAACAATTGCTGAGCCTAAGCAAGGTGCTGTCGTCTTTGCTGGTCACCACCAGCCTTGTACCCCTGGGTGTTCATATGCCGCCTGTTTCACACCACCTCTGCCTTCTGCAGCTTTCAGAGCAAAATTCTGGATTCCAGACTCTCACTGTCACCGAGGATAGAAATTTCTACCATGTCATTGTGATTACCAGGTTAAGTAGATTGTTGGGAATAAATATACCCCAGTGGTGGAAGTTTGTTTATAAGATTACATGGAGAAAGTAGGAAAGATTGGCTCAATATTCCAATGGGTAAAGGAAAGAAAGAAGAAAAAATGTTATTTATATTTTAATACAGTTCTACCTCTTTTTATCAAAGACTTGGGATGCAGTGGTATCTTTGTCTTTTCCTATAACCTTAACAAGGACCCTATCCAGTGACAGTTGTATTTGCCTCCTTTTGAGGATTTTACAGAAAGGTGACATTGCATTGTCACTTAACATATTCATCGCTCACACTGCTGCAGCCTTATCTCTGTGGCACTTTTCTACAAAATTTTGCAGTTACCCATAGTTTACACATCTCCTTGATCTCATTTGAAGTGAAAAATTCCTCTGCCTTTTTCTACTCCTCCTCCTCCTCCTCCTCCTCCTCCTCTTCTTCTTCTGCAGACAAGATTTCCTCCATAACCTCTTGCTGTTGGGTGAGGATCACCCACAATCCCATGGGGGGGCAGGGGCAGAGACAAGAGACAGAGAACCATTGGTTCAATTGTGATCGCATGATTTCAGCATCGCATACCACTTTATTGCAAGCCATTGCTCATTTATCAAGTTAAAATGTATTAGAAATGTGTGCTCGGGCCGGGGATTTAGCTCAGTGGTTCCAGTGCCTGCCTCGCAAGGACAAAGACCCAAGTGCAACCCCAGTACCCCCCCACCCAAAAAGAAATGTATGCTCATCTTGTGGAACACTCACAGAATAAGCCTCTCACAATCCAAGGTTTCACTGTATTGTGAAATACCTCTCCCATCCTCCTCTGGGGTCCTGAAACCACTCTCTTAGTGCTTTATTGAATTTGTGATCTTTAGTTCATGGACATCACCCAGCATGCTCCTGCTACCCAATGTTTTGAGGGTAAATATAACTGGGACCCAATTACTTTCCTAAAACATCAGGTTTACCACTTGTGAAACAGTGGAGATAGTACTGGGACTGTTCTGGGAATTTAATGGAGTAATTTATGAACAAAATTTAGTTGCATGCTTAGTATATTATAAATGCTCAACAGATGATGACGACGATGATGATGATGACACGTGGTCATCCTGAAGGAAAAACAAGATTCTGACACATTAAACCTGCCCATAATAGAATTTTTTGTGTGATCTACAGAATTTGGATGCTTAAATATCTTATAAATGTCTAAATATTTTTATATAAAATATATTTTATAGTCTTGTAATATGCATATGTTTTTTCTCGTCTGCACAAGATAGTTACAGACCTTTTGCCTTTTTATTATTCAAAAACACAATCACTTCTAGATCTCAAGATCAAGTGTATTATTCAAAAACACAGATGGATACCTCAAAGAGCCGGGACTAGAGGTTCCATTTGACCCAGCCATCCCTCTGCTGGGTATCTTTCTAAAAGAATTAAAAGAATCATACCACAGTGATATATGCACAATTGTGTTTATAGCGGCACAGTTTGTAATAGCTAAAATTTGAAAACAGCCCATTTGCCTATCATTTGGAGACTGGATAAAGAAGATGTGGTTTTTCTGTAAAATGGAATACTACTCAGCCATAAAGAATGAGAAATTACATTCATTCATAGGAAAATGGACACATATTGAGGATATACTCCTAAGTGAAATAAATAAGTCACACATGTGTAAATACCTAATAGTTTCTCTGGTGTGAACAAACGATAATAGTATATAAGAACCTAATGAGATAATTGACAATGTGAAATAGGAAGAAAAGGGCTAAAGGTGTAGGGAAAGTGGGAAGTGCAGGAGAAAGGTAATAAGGAAAAGAAAAAAATAGGAGAAAATGAAAAAATGGAAATAATGTGTTTATAAATGGGGAGAGAAAGAGTGGGTAAAGGGAGGGCAGGGACAAGGGGAAAAAAATGAGACCAAGACCTGTCATGTAAAGGTACAAGATCTCAATGATGAATGTAACTGTACTGTATACCTAAAACATACCAATAAACTCAATGAGAGAGAAAAAACAAAAAACAAACAAAAAAAACAAGGATAATTAACAGTAGTTATACTTTCTTCCAGAGATGGATCCCTCACTATCTTCACGAACTCCATCTTCCCATTCTCTTGAAAGAGCAAAAGAGCCGGGCGTGGTGGCGCACGCCTGTAATCCCAGCACTCGGGAGGTCTGAGGCAGGAGGATGCTGTGAGTTCGAGACCAGCCTGGGCTACACAGTGAGTTCCAGGTCAGTCTCAACTACATAGTGAGACCCTGTCTCAAAAAACCAAAAAGGAAAAAAAAAAAAAAGAGCAAAACAGTTTAGATTTTTAAAGTTTACAGTGACCCTTAGAATTCCTGCTGGCCAATGATGTTATTTTTGGTCAAGGAACCTGACATTCAGTTTCTAAGGAACGTGCCTCCAATTATACAGCTGGCTAAAAAGTAAACCAGGATGGGAACCCCATCGCCTGGCATCTGCTGTGCCGTGAGGCCTCTCACTGGATGCTCGACAGTTACACTGGGAGACATTTGTTGAGGGCCTGCTACGTGTAAGGCAGCATTTTGGGCCCTGAGAGTGGAGCCATGAATATTCAAAGCCCTTCTGCCTGGTCTTCCTTTATAGGGCGAAGCAGACGAAGGACAAATAGGCAAATGTCCAGTCAACTACTGGCAAGTACTATGGAGAAAAGTACCAGGTTAAAAAAAAAAGAATGATGGATGCTATTTCAGATACAGAAGAGGTTGGGAGACACGGTGTCTTGAACAATTTACCCATAGCATTTTCAGTGAAATTTGGTGATTAATATTGACTTTGGTTCATAGCAGCACAGTCTGTAAAAGCTATAGCTTGGAAACAGCCCACATGCCCATCAACTGACAAGTGGATAAAAAATGTGGGTTTTTTTTAATACACTGGAGTACTACTCTGCCATAAAGAAGGACGGGCTTCAGATATTCATAGCTAAACAGATGGACCTTGAGATCATACTCTTAAGTTAAATAAATTGGACACAATTGTTTAAATACCACATTGTTTCTCTGATGTGAGAAAGTAAAAGTGGAAATAAGGATTGAAATGTACAATAGATTTTGGGAAGTGGGACAGAAATGTTCAAAGGGAAGGGGAACAAGGGAGGAAGGGGAAAGGAAGGAAGGGACAAGAAAAAAGGTGAAATAGGAGAAAATGGAAACAGCTTTTGTACATAGGGAGGGGAGGGGATTTCATGGGGGAGTGGGGTAAAATAAAATAAAGTCTATTAATAAAAAATACTATGACTTCTAAATCATTCTCCTGTGACACAGCAACACACTAAGGAAGCTGGGCTGCCTGGCAGGACACACATGGGCTCTCGCCCTGAGTTTGATGATTGCTAAACAGGCAAGACTGTGTTTTGTTTTCTTCATTTGGAAAATGAGAAGAGCATGCTCCCTGCATTCATGGTAGGGTGCTTTTGAGTTTAAAATTGTGCCACATTGAAACAGAGTTTTGTGTGGGCCGGGGATCTGGCTCAGTGGTCCTGAGTTCTGTCCCTGGTACCAAAAAACACAAAAACAAAACGATGATATGGATGAGAAAGAGTTTTGTAGAATGGCTATGCAAGGGCAAAATACCACTATGTGGAAATTTTATTTCCTTAAAAATGTGCTGAGGAGGGCCGGGGGTTTAGCTCAGGGGCACCTCGCCTGTCTCGCAAGTGCAAGGTCCTGAGTTCAATCCCTAGTACTGGAAAAAAAAAAAAAAGTGCTGAGGATTTAGATTTTTAACATTGCTTTTAAAAATGTGATCTCCTTCTCTCACGCAGGAATGACAAAACCAGAGAAAGGCAACCAGAATTCAACCTCTAAAAGCAGGCTCAACTCGTTCCTGTATAAGATAAAGCGAGATGTGTACAACGAAGAGAGTTTTCAGCAGGAATACAGAAAGACGGCCCCTTCCACAGGGACCATGAACACTGACGTTGCCACCATCAGACACCAAGTCCTGTGCCAGTACGTGAGTCCAGTCACTCCGCTTCCACCAAGCCAGGCAGGACCCGACTTTCGATCCTCTGCTGCCTGCTTCTATCTTCCTTTTCTGGATTTCTATCACCAGACTGCTAACGTTTATGTGTAGTTTTTCTTTAGTTGTTTTTCGTGGTTTGTCTTGTAGGACTTTCCCGATTATCAGTTTCTTGGGCATTCTCTAAGCCCATTTTCTGGTGCTACAACAAAACGCCCAGGTTGAGTAGTTTATAAAATAAATAGGTGGCTCATGGTCCCGGTAGCTGGACAGTCCAAGCTATGGTGCTGCTTTCTGGGCAGGAGGTCCCGGGCTACATCACAGGTTGGTGGAGACGTGGGAAGGGAGCCAGTTATGTGCAGAGGAAGCCAAGAAGGCGTCGGGTGGCCTCGCTGTGTGGCGGTCTTTTCTCAGGGTGCTCATCTGGTCCCATGAGAGCCTGCACTCCCACAGCAGCACTGACCACCCGCCGCGGTGCTCCCAGAGCCTGATTACCTCCCACGGGGCCTTGCGTCTCACAGGATTCCTCACCGCCTGGCGCCAGCTCTCTGGGCACCAAGCTGCCACACAGGAACCCCGGGGGACGACCCGTGCGGACCACCGCTGGCAGGGAGCCCGGGCTTCTGCAGTGTCCGGGGACGGCTCTAAGTCACACGTCGCCCGACCCGGCTATCACAGAAAGCAGTCAGGCCGGACTAGTTACTGGTAGCAGCGTGAGACCCTTCTAGGCGCTCGGCCACACTGCACACGGTGCCCTTTCCTTGGTCCGCGTTGACCCCACCGCCACGGCCTCTGATCGTCACTGTGACAGCGAAGCCCCATGAATCAGCGGCTCTCGCTGAGCTTCGGTGCTGTGAACCCTTTTAGCCAGCCGATAACTCCAGTGAGCCTCTTTTCAGAATTTTTTAACACTGTAAACTGCTTACACCATCAGACTGGCCATTTCTGACCAGTTTTAACTAGACCGTTCAGGGGCGCCGCTGACAGTCACAGTGTTAGGTAATCATCGCCACTGTTTGTTCGCAAATCTTTGCCACCAGTTCAAACAGAAACTCTGTACCCCTGAAGCAATCTCTCTGTTTTCCATCCCGCTCACCGCCCCCATAACCTCTCTTCTACTTGCTGTCTCCATGAAGTAAAATCGTACAGAATGTGTGCTTCTGGTATGTGGCTTATTTCACTTAGCATAATGTTCTCAGGACTTATCCACGTCATGTTGTACGTAGCACGCACTAGTACTTCATTTCTATTTATGGCTGAACAAAAATCTGTCATATTACATACAGTTTATCTATTCGCTTGCTAATGGACCCTTGGTTTGTTTCAGTCTTTTGGCTGTTGTGAATAATGCTGTGAACTTTGTAGAGATCTGTTTGAATCCCTGCTTTCCATGTTCTTTTTTTTGTTTGCTTGTTTGTTTGTTTGAGACAGGGTCTCACTATGTAGTTGAGACTGACCTGGAACTCATTATGTAGCCCAGGCTGATCTCGAACTCACAGCGATCCTCCTGCCTCAGCCTCCCCAGTGCTGGGATTACAGGCGTGCACCACCACACCCCGCTTTTTTTATTTTTTGGTACCAGGGATCAAACTCAGGACCTTGCTCTCATGAAGCAGGCAGCAGAACCACCGAGCTAAATCCCTGGCCCTGTTCTTTTTCTTTTTAAAAAAACCCAGAATGGGACTTTAGACACTTCATACAGTATTCCCAGAGTTCTGTATGGAGGTATTTGGAGGCTGGACAGGGAGAAATGTGTTCAAAGAGACCAGTGCTGTGAGCCCAAGTTACTCTTTGGCTGTATAATGTTTGTGTCCTCTCTTCAGTATTTTCTCCAGTACCTTCACACTGATCTACGTCCCAGGAACTTTGTTTTTTAACGTTTTTATTTTGAGCCAAGCTCTTGCTAAGTCACTAAATTATCCAGGATGGGCTGAAACTTGTCATCCTCCTGCCTCAGCCTCCCAGAGTGCTGGAATTACAGGAGGGAGCCAATATGCCCAATCTGTTTTCAATTCCTAGAATTGCCGGGTCATCTGTAACTCTATTTTGAACTTTTTATGAAACTGGTGAACTTTTCCGCACCACCTGCACCATTTTACATTTCCCCTAGAAATGTACAAGGATTCCATTCTCTCCTCGCCCTCTCCAGTGTTTGTCATTTTCCTTTTTTTTTTTTTCCTGACCCCAGACATCTTAGTATGAAGTGGTATCTCACTATAGTTTTTGTTTTATTTTAGTTTGTATTTCTCTAATGACTAAGGATGATGAGCAACTTTTCTTGTACTTACTGGTCACTTGTATTATTATTTTTGGAGAAATGTCTCTTCATTTCCATTGTCCCTTAAAAAATTAGGTTGTTTTTTTATTGCTGAGTTGTAGGAGTTCTTTAAATATTCTGGCTATCATTTATAATTGCTTTTGCTCATTCTGTAGGTTGTCTTTTCACTCTGTTGATAGTTTGATGCCCATTTTAATTTGATAAAATCCAATTTAACTTTTTTTTTTTTTTTTTTTT